CCAAGCTAAGTTGAGACCCTTGTCAAGATTCCAAGATTTGCTTCCAAGATTCAACCTTTCACCTATTTGGGCATCTAGGAGGATAAGATCTAAGTCCATCTTGTGTTTTTGGTTCCATCTTAGTCGTATTTTTCTTAAAGGTAGGATATTTATGATCTTTTGGTTTGTTCTTGAAGTGGGTTTGGAAAGTAAGCCTTGTATGAAGCTTGTGAGGTGTAAAGTGAAGTCTTTTGGTCTACAAGAGGTAACCCATGCTCTACTAAAACCTATTTTGCTTACCTATATGCGATTTCTTGGATTCTACTTGTGCTTTGCTATGAAATGTGAGGGTTTATGCATTTGTCTTGTGAAAATGCATATCTAGAGCTTGTGTTTAGGGTTCCTTTATGCCATTGCTTGGAATTTTCCATGATTCAAGTCATTTTGTTGTATTGGGTGAGATTTGGCATGTTTTGGACTTGAATTTGTGTTTGGAGAATAAAATCCCCGAAGGGATTTGTTGTGGTACAAGTGTGTACCCGCGGGCGGAACGGCGGGCGAGGCACCACCCGCCGGCCTACCCGCAGGTACATGGCCTTGTGGGAAAGTGTTCCCGCGGGCGGAACCACGGGTGGGGCACTACCCGTGGGTCCACCAGCAGGTACATAGTTGGTGATGTGATGGGATTTGTTCCCCGTGATTCGTTTGGCTCGGTATTTGGTCTTTTGATTCCCCGATGTTCTTTTGTGGAACTATTTGAGCGTCTTCTTGATGTTTCGTATGTCTAGAACTATATGGTAGGTATCCATGTAGGACTTTGGTGTCTTGAATCGTGCTAAGTGTTCAACATTGTGTTTCGTTGAACCGTGAAGTGTCATGTGTGTTCCTCGGAACTATCTTGAGTTTCTCCGTTGAAAAGCATGCTAGTTTGTTGTCTAAATACTAGCGTGTGTGTTGTTTGTACCTTTCGTTTGGTTGATGATAACTTGCGTTATTCATCGTTGATGTTGTTGGGCTGTGATCCATTCCTTGATTGAGTATGTTTCATACCTTCGTTGTGATCCGTTGTTTGACTCTTGTTGAGGTGTGATGCGTGTGTGGCTTTACCTGGATTGCACGATTAGTGGTATGGGACACTAGTCACCAAGGTATTGCAGCGGTCCTCGTGGTGGTCGTGATGTGATTATGGAGTTGTGTCCTTTGTGCAAGGTTCACGTTTATGGGGGATAACATGTGTTATCCGAGCATGTGTTGCCATGTGTGTGTACGGTACCTCGTGTACTATGAAATCGGTGGTTTTGTTGGAGGGACTGTTGGAGGGGGAATGACGATTCCCAGGGGAATAAGGTTGGACTGGTTGTACAGGGGTCCTGGAGGTAAAGGTTGGAACTAGATATAAGGTTGGGGGTAGCTATAAGGTTGGAACAGGGCATAAGGAAGACATTTCAAGTCTTGATGTGTGATGTCACGAGGGCTTGTGTAGCCGTGGTTGTGTGTTCTCTCTTGTGACGTGTGTAGTTACAAAGGCATGTGTTGCCTAGGCATGTGTTGCCGTTTGTCGTGTCCTTATCCTTGTGTTGTTGTTATCCGTTGTGGTCTTGGGATGTGTTCCCGTGTTGTTTGTTGATGAGTGATGAGTCTTGAGTTGGTGTTTACTCTTGGTTTTACACACACATATATATATATATATATGTATTCCGTTTCGAAATGATTTTTGTATATATACCCTACCTATGTATGATACTTAACAGGTATTGGTGGGTTACCAGCATTATCGCTGACCGGGCGTTGTCCCAATGTTTATCATTGTGTCTTTCAGGTGATGTCTAGACGAGCGCGATGTTTAGTGGTCGGTAGTCTAGTATCTTTACCTTTGTTTTGTGGCATGTGTGTCGTTGTAGTTTTAGACTGTTGTCTTTTGGGATAGATGTATACACTTTGCAGATTTACCGCCGTAGCATTTACCGTGTTTGGTAGACGTGGCATAACACCCCGTTTGGATTTCTTTAATCCAGTTTTCGTTTTATCTTCCGCTGTGCTAGTTTTGTTGTATGATCTGCAGTGTGTTAAGGCCTTTTATATAGGTCATGTTTGGGGGGTGTTACACAACAACACCTAGATTCCACACAAAGTGTGTACAACAACGGATAAGCTCAACAATAGATTAATCAAGGAATAATCATACACACGGGATCACATCAAGGGATTCAATCAAGGGGTTTGAGTGAAGAACATGAAACGATACTCAACAACAACAATGGACCTCAATCCAATATCACCATGATTGGCAACACGAGTTGCCAATCCACAATAGAAAGGGACAAACAATACATACTAGCATCAATGACACCAAAACTAGCATGCATATCAAACGGGTAAACCAAATGGTTCCAATGAACCTCAAAGACTCAACATCAATCCAACGAATCACAAAGTTGGACCACAAGCACGATTCAAGACACCAAATCCTAACATGGATTCCTAACTCATCGTTCTAGACATACGAAACATCATGAAGACTCACAAAAGCTCAACAATTTAACAACGGGAGGCCAAAACATCAAGTACCAAAAAGGAAAGGACCACGAGGAACAATTCCCCGCAATCACCAAACATGTTCCCCGCGGGTGGGGCCACGGGTATGCCTCCACCCGTGGTTCCACCGGCGGGGTACGTCGCTGCCCAAAAATCAGCATCCGTGGTTTTTCTTCTACAAGGCCAAGTTCAAGTCCGAATGACCCCAAATCTTCCATACAACAAAGATATGACTTGAACCTATGAATAGCTCAAATAAAAGAATTTAAAAACCCAAAATACAAGCTCTAAAAATGCATTATCACAAGATAATATATCAATCACTCCAACACATCAAGAATATCACATAGAACTCAATAATCATTCTTATCAAGTGAAAATAGGTTTTGTGTACCCTAGGTTACCTCTTGTAGACCAAGAACACTTTCTTCAACCTTAAAGCAAGACCAAAGCTCCTCTAGATCAACCTAGAACATCACCCACCACTAGATCTTCTACAAACTCTCAAAACCCACAAGGTAGAAAAAAGATTTAGAGAAAAGATGGAGGAATCTTGTAAGGAAAAGGTAGGGAAGGATAGATCTTACCATTCCTAGCCTTGTAGTGTTGGAAAGTTAGAATCTTGGTGGAAGACTATGCAAAGCTTGGAAGTTCCCTTTTTGACTTAGAGAGCAAGCTAGGGTTCTTTTAGAGAGAGGTTGGAGAGTTTTTAGAACTTTGGCTAGCATGGGATGAAGACAAGAGGTCTTGCTAGGGAAACATGAGCTCCTATCACTAGTGAAAATACCTAGTTACCCTTACTACGGTTTGGATGAAGAATTGATTGAGGTGCAACACAAAAGGAACAAGGTGCACCAAGAAGATTAGTCAATTTCTAGTCCTTCGACTATGAAATTTCAGGATTTTAGGAAGAAGTTACCAAGGAAGGCTAGGATTAATTCTTTAATTAATCCCTATTAGCATTTAGATTTACGGGGTGTCACAGATGTGATCCTTGACGTACTTCCGGAGATATTAGATTTGTTCTCTCTGAATTTCATGCAATCTCTGTTGATTGGCCAGTGCTTCTTGGTGAAGCTGATAGTTAAAGGCTTGCAAAGTGACCCAATTGATAACTGAGGCGTAATGTGGTGGCACCGATGGGAATACAGGTGCTTCTGGTAGTGGTGAATCCATATTAGCTTACTTGGGTACTCGAGGTATCTCTAAAGCATCCATGTCTTCCTTGATCAAGGCTTTCATTTTGCAATCTCGCATGCGAGTCCCTCGTTCGAGTAGGATATCGAGATGTAGTCCTTTGCATAACCGGGTAATTATGGTCCGACAAAGATAATTTTCACCTTCTCCCTACATTGCGACTCTAGCCAATTTTTTTTCAAAACATCCCCATATTTTTGTTGTTCTCGGAATCCATGCTCCATAGAGCCAAGAGATCGGCGCGGTAAACCTTACTGAAGTTAGATCGTCTTCCGCCCCAAGAGTAAGCTAAGATGCGTCTCACCACCTTTAAATCATTTCTCATTTACCGCAATTGTTAAACTTTAATTGCCATATTTCGTGCTTAAAATCGGGGGTGTTACAGTCAAACTATCACACCCCCAAATCTATCATTCGCAGTCAATCAATTGTGTCAGCACATGCATGCACCTAAAGTACCTAAAGTATCACATTGGGAACACCTAAAGAGAGTCTTGAGGTATGGAAAGGGAACAGTTGATTTTGGTTTACATATGAAAAATTCAGCATCAAAAGAACTCTATGCGTTTTTTGATTCTGACTCGACTAAATGCCCTGAGCACCGTAATTCCACGAGCGGTTTTGTTGTTTTTCTTTGATCCAAACTTATCTCTTGGGTCTATAAGAAACAAAGAACTGTTGCTAGATATTCTAATGAGGCAGAATACAAAAGAGTCGTAATACTAGTCCGAATAATGGGTTGGAAAAATGTTAAAAATAAAACTATGGGTTTTATTAGACCTGGAAATTATGGACATGATCCTTTAACACGATACAAAATTAATTGGACACGAAACTAACGGATTAGTGTTTAGTCTTAACGTGTTTCGGGTCATTAATGGGTTGACCCGTTATATTTTGTGTCTTAACGGGACAACCCGTTAATATTATTCTGTTAACCCGTTTACACAAACCTGTTTATAACCCGCTAAGAACCATTATCATTTAAGTAAGAATCATTTTCATGAATGAGATTACAAAAGATATTATAAACATGACTAAAGGTGAATTTTCTATATTAGGCCAAGATCATACACCAAATATTGATGTTAAACAATCTGAAATTTGAATTTTTATTGTTTTTAATTTTATTCTGAAAACTAACATGGACTTCTTTAATTATGATTTTTATATTTTTAGATGTTATTTGATCATTTTATGAATGTTATAAATTGAATTTTTTTTTTGGTTGTTTGATGGATTGAATTGTATGTTTTATTTCTTTATATTTTTTTGAAAACCATATCAACTCAGATTGTATTGGCTATAATCTGCTCCAAAAAATGCGGAGGACCATCCCTCCAAACAGAACTTCCAACCGGCGCACTAGCATGCTTAGCTAGCGTATGTGCCGCAATATTTGCATTTCGTCTAACAAACGAGACTACAGTTCCAGGCATAGCAGAAATTAATCGAATACAAGAGTCCAAAATAAAACCAAAATAAGAACGAAAGAAACGAGCATCCCTAATACTAGAAACCAAAACCGTGCTATCTGTGAATAGTCTGACTGCCGAGTAACCATTATTCTTTAACCAAGAAAGTGCCTCAGTTACCGCCATCGCCTCCGCCATCACGGGATCATACGGACAAACCAAGGGGCCATTCGCCGCAGCTATGTAACTTCCATCCTCCTCCAAGACCATGAAGCCGTAAGTAGGCTGCCGATTCGAATCATGGAACGCCGCATCCACATAACAAGCCACACCACGCTGGTCGTTATTTGCATGCATGACTGGAGCACACTGTGATTCCCTTGATCCGGCCCCATGCGCCTTCCAAGCTGCCCAACAAGACAAAAGGCTGCTGCACAATGCCGTGGGAGTTGGTAGGAAATTACTCCAAACAGCCGAATTCCGGGCTGACCAAATGCCATGTAACAAGCCACACATCTTCCCTTTACTTTCATAATCCAGCGCTGATACTCCTCCTAACCACAATTCTGCCCAAAACAGAAAATTGTCACCATTATATTGGGGAAAAGGCAACTGGGAGCAATTCCAAATAAGAGAGGCAAAAGGACAAGAACAAAGAACATGCATGACATTTTCTTCTACTAAACCACAAGCTGGGCATACATTAACAATATCCACCCTCTTTTTCACCAAATTATCAAGAGTTGGTTAGATGTTAGACAGAGCTCTCCACATGAAGTTCTTCCACTTAGGGGGGATTTTCAAATTCCGTAACCTACCCCATACCGGCGAACTAGGAGCTAAATCACCCCCTAGCCGTCTATATCCACTTCTTACCGAATAATTCCCTGTAATGTCCCCCTCCCAGAACCACAAATCATCATAAATTCCATTCAAAGGCAGCTTATAAATCAAAGCGGCATCCCGTGTATTAAAAGTCTGCTGGATCACGTTATCGTTCCATGCACCTGTTGAATCATCCACCAAATCAGCCACAGTCCATCCCTGATTGGTAGCCGGCTGCAAAGTAGACACATAAGGGTCAAGAGAATCCGGCAACCAAGGATGTGACCAAACCTGAGTAGCTCGCCCATTGCCTATCCTTCGTCTGCACCCCATTTTAACAAGCCCCTGACTTGCCATTATACTTCTCCAAACATAACTCAGATTCCCCCCCCCCCCTCCCAACACAGCATCATATAAAGTAGAAGATGGAAAGTACCTTGCTTTTAACACACGAGCCATCAGCGTTTCTGGCTTTGTGAGAAGGCGCCAGCTCTGCTTGGCCAGCAACGCCAAGTTGAACTCATGCAACCGTTTAAATCCCAGACCCCCAAACTTCTTAGGCCTACACATTCTGTCCCAAGCTAACCAATGAATGCTATCCTCCCTGTCACTTCGCCACCACCAATATCTATTCATTAATCTCTCAAGGGAAGCACATAGCGTTTTGGGGATCAAGAAGATGCTCATTGTATACGTTGGCATAGCCTGTGCCACACTCTTCAGAAGGACCTCCTTACCAGCCCTGGACAGGAGCCGCTTGTTCTACGCCCCAAACCTCTGTTTCATCTTCTGCTCAATATAAGCAAAAACTAGCTTCTTATTCCTGCCAATCACAGAAGGGAGGCCCAGATACTTACCAAAGTCATCTGCCTGAGCAACCCCCAAGGCCCCAGCAACGAGAACCTTCACATCATCCACTGTATTGCGGCTGTAACAAATACTTGACTTATTAAAATTGACCGCCTGTCCAGAAAAGGCCTCATATACTCCAAGGCATCTCTTTACCTCCATAGCTTCCTGCAGATTCGCCTTAAAAAAGAGAAGGCTATCATCCGCAAAAAACAAATGTGAGATAGACGGAGCCCCCCTGGCCACCCTACAGCCATGAATCAACCCCTTAGCCTGAGAGTCTTGCAGCAATAAAGATAATCCTTCTACGCAGATAATAAAAAGGTAAGGAGACAAGGGATCACCTTGCCTTAGGCCCCTCGTGGGGACAACCTCCTCTGAAGGCCTACCATTAATCAGCACCTTATACCGCATAGAACGGACACACAACATAACCAGCTGCACCCACCTATCATCAAACCCCAACCTCCTCAACATCTGTTCCACAAAAGGTCATTCCATACTGTCATACGCCTTGGCCATGTCCAGCTTTAGAGCTGCCCAGCCAACCTGACCCAGTTGCTTCCTCCTAAGATAGTGACCGACCTTCGAGGCTATCATAATATTATATGAAATTAATTTGCCCGGAAGAAAGGCACTCTGGGACTCAGAAATTATCCCCTCCAACAGCGGCTTCATGCGGTTAGCAACCATTTTAGCCATGCCATTATAAAGCACATTACAAAGTGCAATTGGCCTCAGATCAGAGACAGACACAGGAGCAGACTTCTTAGGAATCAATACAATATTCGCATCATTTAAATTAGGAGGAAAATAAGACTGGGAAAGACAATCAAGCACAAAGTCCGTCACATCCTTACCTACTACACTCCAGAATGACTGATAGAAGCCCGGATTCATTCCATCCGGCCCCGGGGACTTGTCTTTCCCCATAGCAAACAAAGCATGGCGCACCTCCTCAGGTTGAAACGGGCGCAGGAGCTCGTCATTCTGGTCTACAGTAACTCGCGGCTGCAAGGTTTCCACATTGAAGGAGCCAGGGGACCCCTGAGATGTGAATATCTGTTTATAATATGCAACAATCAACTCATCAAGCTCTCTTCCCTCCTTCCATACACCCCCATCATCCTGCAGTTTCAAGATCATATTCTTCTTCCTACGATGCCCGGCATACTTATGAAAGAACTTAGTATTCCTATCTGCCCCTTGCAGCCAATGTTGCTTGGCACGTTGCCTCCAAAAAGCCTCCTCCTGAGAAAGCACATTACTCAGAGTGGCATCAAGATGCCTGAAACGAGCTAGAGAACCAGGATCAAAACAGCCCCGTAAAGCGTTCATCTCCCTCCTAATCCCCTCCAGTCTCCTTCCAAACTTATGAAAGCTCTCACCACCCCACTTTTTCAAGCCCCGGCCACACACACCCAATCTCGCTTGCAAACCCAACCCCGCGGAAGAAAACCACTCCCTCTCCACCACCTCACTGCACCCCTCATCTAGCAACCAAGCATTCTCAAATCTGAAACCCCGGGGATGATAAACCGGGGCCTCACCATAGATATCCAGGAAGAGGGACGTATGATCAGACTCGTCTATTCGAATGTTAAACACCCGAGCCCTTTCATAAACCTCCCGCCACCTCATGCATGTCACCACCCTATCTAACCTCTCCTCCACCTAGTCCTCAGTCCCCTTCCCACGCTCCCATGTGTAAGGATATCCAATCATGGGAAGCGTAACCAGTCCACAATCATCCAGCGCATCCCCAAACCCCTCCAACAACCCATTCAGATGTGGCAATCTACCCCGCTTCTCAGTTTGCATAATTAAGTCATTGAAATCGCCTAAAACCACCCACGGAAGATCCGAAACAGGCTTAAACGATCTCAACAAATCCCATGCAGCCCTTCTCCTTGTCCTTTCTGGATAGCCATAATAACAAGTTAACCTCCACGGATCCCTTCCCGGCAGAGACACCTGGAGATCTATATGATGACGGGAATATTTAATTAACCTGGCAGTGTTGTTTCGTAGCCACAAAAAGCAAAGGCCACCCCTCGTTCCTACACTATCCACCTTGAAGCAACCTTCAAACCCCAACTTCACCCTTAACCTCTCCGCATGATCCCCTCCCACCTTCGTCTCCATTAAGAACACAAACTCGGGCTTCTTCCTGGACACAATGTCCACCACCTCTCGAACTGTCCGTGGATTGCCCAAGCCACGGCAGTTCCAAAATAAGGTACTCATTGAGAGTGGCGGGCCTGATCCTCAGGCCTCGCCAGACACCCCGCAACGGAGTCAACATTCATGCCCCTCTCCTCCCTAACCACCAAACCATCCTCCTCCTCCACCCTATGCCTCTTCGGCTCTACCCGTACCCCTTCCTCCTCCATCCCTCCACCCGATGACCCTCCCCCCACAACCAGCTCCTCCACCACCGAACCACCCGCCCCCAACCCCGGCTGCCCCGTAACAGTAACCTCGCCAGCCACACTCCCATATCCAATAACACGCCTCCTCTCCTGCCCCATCTGAAACCATTTATCCCCAAGAACCTTCGCTGGACTAGAACCCCCAGCCCGTAACCCTGGACCAAACAGAAACTGTTCAGGCCGCAATCCAGATCTTCTCGCCTCCAAACAAAACTTGTCAGTATGGCCCATTTTTCCGCAGAAAAAACAAAACATATGGAGCCGCTCATATTTAAAATTTATCCACGTCGAAGAACCATCCCGCAGCACCATCTTCATTCGCCTTTTAATAGGGGCAGTAACATCATGAGTTATCCGAATTCTGTAATAAGAAACCCATGGTCTGGTGAAATTACGGTCATCAACATGCAGGAACACACCTGCAAAATCTCCAATCTTCTCCAATACCTTCATTGTCCGATACCCCGGCGGCAAATCGAAGACCTGCAACCAAATATCCACCGTGGAGAGCACAACCTGCGTAGGATCCTCGCCAACATTCAATGGTTGACACAAGAAAGGCGCATTCTCAAAGGCCCAGGGGCCGTCCGTTAGAACTCGCTCCATATCCGCCTTGTCAAAAAAGGTGAATAGATACAGGTTTGGTTGCACATCAGAGACTTCGATGCCCATCAAAGGACGCCAAGCCGACGCCATAACTCGCTTCATTATCTCCTGTTTCAACAACCGGTCAGTCAGAAACCGCCCTACTATAGACCAAGTTTGCCGCTCTGGTGCATCTCCGACAACACCCTCTGCAACATCGACGAACCTCACCCCTACCTCCTCATCCTCCAACGTAATACTCGCGGTGCCCTCTATCAACCCCTGTACGTCCATCGTAATCGTGTCCAAAAGCGCTATCTCCGTTCATGCAGCAGAAAACGTCGTAAAGTTAAACCCTAGATCGCAGGGAGAAACGTAGGAAACCCTAGAAAACAGGGAGGAAACCCTATATACATTGTCGTGTCGACCGTTAACGAATCCGTATACACGAATTGCCAGGTCTATGTTTTATAAACATCTATTTACTATTTATGATAACAAAAAAAAATTTAAAATATCACAAAAGTAAATTTAGAAATAAAAGTAGCATAATAATACAAAATTTCAAAATAAGAATGTTTTTTTCATACAAGAAAAAAAATGATATGTTATTTATCTGTATCTATATAATTTAAAAAGTACAATCAATGGCTATTCACATCCATTTATGTTTGTTATATATTTATATCTATTCTTATTGAGTTGTACCTTGTGCTATAAATATTGTACTATCCATTTTTTATCAAACAAAATTCGGTTGCTCTTCAACTTTCTCTAGTATGTTTATATATATACTAGTTTTTTACGCGCATTGCGCGATTGAGATAATGCTCAATAATTTTTTAAATAAGTATTTTAAAGTATATCAATGCAAGATTATATTAGAATTGTACATGCATAGATAATTGAATGTTAAATTTGGGTATTTAAATAGGCAATTCTAAGTTTACAAATGCAAGATAATATAGTCAAGATTGATTATAGTTGTCAATAAAATAATTGTATAGGTATGGTTGAAACCAAATACAAGACATAAGGGAGAGAAAATAAAAATTAGGGCATAAATTATTAAATACTCCGTATATACTAATATTGAAGAGCTAACTACTGATTGCCAAACAAGGACATTGCGACATAGTTTCCCACTTCAATTTGTTGTGTAATTTGAATACTCTTTTTGTCAATAAATCTCCCAAGTAGTTAATATGATTGACTTAATTATATTTTTTATTTTTTTATTTTTTTAAAACAATTATTATTATTATTATTATTATTATTATTATTATTATTATTATTATTATTATTATATCATCATACTCTTAGGTCATTTTACATGTTAATCTAAACAACTAATTTTTTCAAATATCTTTTTACTAACCATTGATATAATTCGCTGGTCAAATTCGCTAATATAATCCGCTAACGCTAACCGCTAACTGCTGATTGTCAAATAAGGATATTGCGAAGTTGTTCTCACTTCAATTTGTTGTGTGATTTGAATAGTCTCTTTGTCAACAAATCCTTCAAGTAATTAATATGATTAGCATTATTAATTATATTTTTTAAATTTTTTCATGGTATTAATAAAATACTTGGTAAATAAATATATAGCATTATTTTGTATTATAACTTTGATATTAAATTAAAAAAAAAAATAGTGCACAAAAAAATGTAATAGACAATTTGTGAATATAATCAATTGAT